TAATGAAAAAATATGTTATTGTAACGTTTTGAAAAGCTTTCGAGTTAAGCTACAAAAAAAGTGTAACAAAAAATAGGGGATTCCACTTAAAAAAATCGCTGTGACCTTGACCTGGCCTCGGCGACGCCACTCTAGGTCAAATCAATGATACATTCTTATGTCCCCCTCCGAACCATACAATTTTTGTTTAAAACATTTTTCCGTATTTACTATAATTTTCGAGAAATCTTAATGTATAATTTAAAATGGGACACCCTGCATATAAGCTGCGTAAGTACGTTCGGAAACGTCATCCGATTGTTCTAATGTGTCATTGTAGTGTTATTGCCCTAATGCGTTATTGTATCTTTATCGTTTATTAGACATAAAACAAATATATAATGACACTAGGATGAAGTTTCTGAACGTAACCGTAGTAATATAGTATAATTAGATATGAACATGTACATACACTTACTGACTATGGCCCAATTCCATAACTCACAGTTAACCGAGGTTCAACTTATTCATAGTCTCTTTCCAATTCTAGAATTTGGAAGAGATGAGAAACAAGTTGGAACCTCAGTTAAAAGTTAACCATGAGTTGTGGAACTGGGCCTAAAATTGATCTATTTTTTCAGTGGATCTCGGAATGCAGCAGATACTCACCGAGCAATTGGTTCTTACTTATGGATCCATAAATAATAACCAATCGCTTAGTAAGGCTGCATTTTGAAACCCACTAAAAAAGTGTTGCAACCGTTTAGTTGCTGACTACATATATACATACGCATGTAATCAATAATGTCTTTCCGCTTGAAGTTAGCCACGTTTCAAGTAATCACATCGCATCTAGATATTCGTTTGTATGAATTCAATTTGTTAAAATTTGCATTTGTTATATTATTATTTATATATGTGTATACCTGAAATACATATATTTAAACAGTTATTTTAACACTAATGATACGTATGCGATGCGTTTGCTTAAGGCTGGCTTCCATGAGCAGAAATTTGCAGCAGAACGGATTAGTGCGAGCAATGACAACTCTGCAGTCATTACTGTGCTTCCTTTTCTGCGATTGTGATTTGTCTCGTTGTTCCGTTCCGCTATTAAATTTACGCTCATGGGACGTTGGCTTGAAATGCAGCTAATTTCAAGTGAAAAGGTATTATTGACCACGCGTATACATTATCAATAAAATAATTATATACCATCATGTAATATCGAAATTTTCTTTTAGAGAATCAATCAGGCGGTGCATCGCCTTCTACAGAAGGAGAGGCGCAAGGAGCAGCGCCAAAGCAATCGAAAATATGCCGGCGATATGTACGTACCACCAACGTATGTACCACCGGCATACGCAATGCAAAGTTATATGCCGGCACCTGGGTACATGCCTGGACCGGGATACGTACCAGCAGTACCGTCCGCACCAGTAGGGTGCATACCCGCACCGGCGGGATACGTGTCGGCACCGGCAGGATACATCCCAGCACCGACAGCATATGTGCCGCCGGCACCGACAGGATATGTCCCGGCACCAACAGGATATGTCCCGGCACCAACAGGATATGTGCCTTCTGCATATAGCACATATATGTATAAACCTTTTTAAAAAATATAAATTGGTCAAATATAACATATATAAATTTATGTAATAAATAAAATAAAGAACAAAATAATACATAATAAATAAAATATAATAATTAATCTTTAGTATCTTATTGAATCTCACTATCTTAGTGAATCTGGAGTGGGAAACCTCGCGCGTTGTTGCGCATGAAAATCACGCCAGGCTCCCTATCCTCCGGGGCGACAGTCACCTATAACCAGG